TCTTGAGAATCGCAATGTGCGTGATCCTTTTTACCCGAGACAAGCTGCTAGGAATAAAGACAGGTGAGGTTGGTCAGCAATTATTGAACAATTTCAGTTGCCCAGAAGATACCCTCAAAAAGAGAAAGCAAGAAAAATACACACCCACAAAAAATAATAATAATAATAAAAAATAAAAATAAAAATAAATAATAATAATAATATATAAATAAAAATCAACAAAACACAAGTCCACCTTGTACCTGGTGAAATGAGAATTTGCAGTAACCTGATTCAGCTTTTGTCCAGCTGCCACTTTTACAGACCCTTGTAAGCTAATGGGGAATCTGTCACTCCAATAATTTCTGCTGATAGGAGTATATATGAAACAAAAATATAAATAAAAAGGAAAAATTGGTCTCTCACATGTATATCATTTACAATCTAAAATTGTCATGCAGTTTTCTAGAATGAAGGCAGCAGGTACAGCCCCACCTTTCTTCAGGCATGTTAATTAACTTTATAGAACCAAGTCTTCAGCTATATATACTGTATATGAAACACATAATCTACACAATAAATACATTTGCAACACATTTTTCAAGACTTCTAGTTAGGTTCTGTATAAAATAAACATATTTATACAAAAGGTTTGTCAGAAAACATACAACACTGCTTTTCTAATTTACCTGCAGTTCATAAGATGACAGACCTGCCGGCAATGAAAAGCAGTGCTTGCGTTTTTGTACACCTATATTCTTTACACATCACTTGCGAGCGTAAAGTCCACAAAAAAATCATAGCAAAACTTGTCCATCATATTGTCATCGGGTGGTAGGAATGGTAGATTTTGTACTCGGTCACTCCAGTGATGCAATAAAAAACGGAGTGTACCTCTTCATTACTAAAAATCCGTTTCCTACTGTGTTGGTCTTCTTGATGCTTGCCACGGCAGGCATTCTCATAGTTTCTTCCCTCCAGCAGATGTATATTTAACAACAGATGTTATTATCATTCAACTGGTTACTGAGGCACTGGTTTAGGATCCAACTTTTTATTACTACCCTAAAAAAGAAAAAAAGAAAAAAGAAAGAAAGAAAAAAAAGTACTTCAAGCAGTACCTTGCTTACATTTGCATTATATATGTAAGCCACTGGCATATCTCTGAAGGGAAAGATGAAAAGTCAAAGCTTTATTCACTTACATTAGTTTCAATAAAAGCACTGAAATGTAGAAATTTAATTGAACTTTGGAACTCGTTTAGGCACTCATCAAGCAAAACACAAACAGCAATGTCAAGAATCAGCCAAGCTCAACTTGAGCCTTATAGACTTAAAAACACATCAACATCCAAGTCTCTCAACTATCCACTAAGAGCTTCAAGTTGCAGGCATATAAATAACATAATGCATATTTTTCACATCACTCCCAAATATGCATAATTACCTAAAACAAACCCATTTCATTTCTGTAAATAATGCGACTAAGTACAAGTAAATGCCTTCACATCCTCATTCACAATCAACAGAGAAAAGAATCAGCTGATTCATTTTGGAATGAATGCATAATTAACGTAGAGAGTAAAGCAAACAAAACGTCAAGTGATGTGAACCAAGTACACACGCGTTTAATCAATTACATTCTAGCAAAGTGAGTAATACAAAAGCAATAATTTTCAAGAGTTGAAACACTTTCCTTCTTGTTCTGTCAATTAACACGTTCTCCAATCCTATGAAGGCAGCAGCCGTTTTTATATGGCACCTTTCACGTGTGTATAACAAACTGATCAGGACCACAGGACAAGATTGCATTCCTTAAGATAGGTAGTACCAGTTGCAAGTTATTTTAATGATGGAAACACGAGTTGATACACTGCTACATCCCTAGGAAAGAAGTGGCATGAAAACACCTGTTAGGCAGTCATGTAACTGAACAAGGCACCCACTTTCACCCTTCACACTTTGCGTTTCTATTGCATACGCCCACATAATTTATAATAAATAAACTCTCAAATATAAAATTTTCTACCTAATGATTTCAATTTCTGAGCATACACTACGAGTAAGAAAAATTCTATGGAAAAGGAAAAGGAAAAGAGGAAGAGGAAAAGAAAAATCCTGGTTCACCCTATGTGGAGATTCTTTAAAACTTTTCACATATAAATAAAATAATGACTACTCCTATAACGCATTAGAGATTCCTTGTTTATTAAGCAAAAAGAAAAGAAACCCTCTCTTTGCTTAGAGATACTTTCAATAGAATACATAATATCATTACTGAATCCTTAAACATAAATGACTCCTTCAACAGATCAGCTTACTGAGATTACATTTTCTGTCTGTAAAAGAAAAGATAAATAAAATGTGAATGATTTCACCTGTAACTGTACTGAATGTGGTATCACCGTGAACTTTGAAAGTGAGGCACAGGTGAAATATCTATCTCTACTAAATTTGTAGATGCAGGTTCCTGTGGATGCATACTTGAGACATAATCATCTACAACTGGTTACCTGACTGATACAGCCAAGTTTAAGATGTCTTAATATGCAGACACGGTGAGGCTGGATGCATCTAACTTTTTAAGCTCCATTTGTAGTATATTACAGTCTTTTTTGTTTTTTCAATAATTTGATGAGAACATGAAGTTATATGAACACATAAAAGGATAACAAGAATACATTTGCAGACCAAAATGACACTGTTACACTGCTTAATAATTCTATAGTGATGCAAGATGAACCAATGCCATCTCACTCTACAACTATCAGGCTGAATTGCTCATCACTGTCATCCTGGCATCCCTGATGCATTAGAATTCAACACACAATGTGTATTTCACTGCTGAGATTCACACACATCATTTCAGATCTAACTTAACTAGTTTAGTTTCGATATGTCATCGTTCATTACACTTCTAGGAACTGCATCCTTAAGTGGCCAATAGTATACAATATACTATATTTTATTCTACCAATAATAGGCAATCATCTTTCTTATCCATGTGCATTCTTCTAGGCATTGACTTCAAGATCATGAGTATCAAGACAAACAGTTTGACAATACAGGTAAGAAAGAGTAACGTCAATATTGCATGATTTTCATGGATAATGGCACTACCATAGAAAGAAAAAAATATGTATATATATGTATCTGTATATATGTATTTGTGTATATGCCTGTATGCCTGTATGTATGAATGTATGTATGTATGCATGCATGCATGTATCATTGCATATACTTATGTACATATATATGTAGGTATGTGTATATGTGTATATATATATAATATGTGTATGGGTATGTATGTGTATGTCTAAGTGTAAGTGTAAATGTGAGTGTAAGTATATGCATATGTAAACATCCATACATAAATATATATTACCACTGCACTGTCCTCCTGCTATAATATCTAAAAATATGAGAACAGATGAGAGAGAGGAAGAAAAAGAGGAAAAAGCAGCTACCTGTCAAAGTACTGCAAGGGGTTCTGGCTAAAACTGCTGAATGCCTCAATTTAAACAATCTGGGCTATGGTGAAAGAAGAGGGGAACTTATCAAGTACTTTTATCACCTCTTTCTTTTCTTTTTTTTTGCTCACTCATTCACTCTCGCAATCTCTCTTCCTTTCTGCCTTTTTTACTCTGGAGAGAAAAAAAAAGAAAAGAAAAGAAAAGAAAGAAAAAAAAAAAAAATCTACAACTGTCAAAAAATTTTCTTTCATGGAACTCAATTAATCATATGAGCATACTGTACTGTCTGGTATAAACACCCCACAGTTTCCATTTGGCAATATCAGTGCTACTATATGAACTACCTTCCTAATCATTCCTATGAACGAAGATAATATGAGTAGTAATATCATTAGGATTTTACTGTTTGTATTACTGAAAATAATGATCAAATGAATAATAAAAATAATGGATACAATAATAATAATAATAATAATGATGATAATTTCTAATTTCTTCATGCCATACCAAACTTCTTAGAACAATCCCACCCTTGCTTTTCCTCACCATGCAATTCATATCGGTCATCTGGGAGAAGAAGCTTTCATGTCATTAACTGCGACAAGACTGAGCACAATTCTTGTCCACGCACACTGCAAAATGGAAATTCTTACTGAATAAGAAGTGAATACACCTAGCACGGAAAGGTTCACTGCATTGCTAACAAGATACTGGGCTGGTGTAGCATGGGGGTTGCTCTTGCTCACAGCCAGTATTTGAAGAGTATAACAAATATATCCACGGCCTGCAACAAGACGCTCGATTGCTTTCTTCTAGCTGCCAGCAAATAACTATGCAAACAGGGTATCAATGGGCACTAGGAGGACTGCATCACAATAACACTGCTAGTTGAGAATCGTCACTAATGGCTCTTGGCGGCTTCTTTGGCTGCCACAATGAGAGGGTGGAGGCTTGAGAGAGGTCTTGCTAGCTTTAAAAATGGATGCTGAAAAGGAGAAAAATGTTGAGTGTTTAAGAATGGATGCTGTAAAACAGAATATTACCCATATTTAACACAAAAAATTGAGCATGTTGGGCTTCTTTTCAACAACTTGTAGTGTAGTTCCCAAATTTCTTCTGCTATACAATATAAGCCTTACTTTAGTTTGTTTCTTTCCTAGAGTTATTCATCTGGAAATCTATTCCCTTCATCAACTAGGATAGCCTCACTATAGTATATATGATACTTTCCTAATAAAAGACAATGAAAGCAGTGAAGCTATTATCACATCTAGATACCAGTCACAGTCTGACTAGGTTTCTTTCATAGGTCTCTTTCATCAAAAGCAATATGGGGAAAAGGAAAGGTCAAAATGCTTCATTTTAACACAAGTGATTGTAAAGAACTTCAAACTGCCAAATAACATTATACCATAACTACAAAAAAAAAAAAAAAAAAAACAAGTTGACCAACTTACCTTTAGAAGATGATTAGCAGTCGATCTCTTTTCAACTTCAACTTCTAGGCATTGGTCAAGGAAATCCTGAAATACGTGAGACAACTTTTCCCGCTCCTTGATTTCGGGCTTACCATTTGTGGCTATCAGGTACAAAGCTCTCAGAGGATTTTCATTCAGGTATGGTGGTTCTCCTGTTGAAATGGATCCAGTCATTTAGTAAAGTGCATACACAGTCTACTTATACAAACAAATGTTCACTCTATCTACAAAATACACTCAAACCTTAGTCTTACAGTCCTCCAATTAAAGTATATCAGAGGCAACAGATAAAATCTGGCTATGGACAGAACTGTTGCAACATTGGATGCAAGATGCAAAAATACAGTTAACTAATTGGTCCATTGCTATTTCCCTTTTAAACTGCACCAACATTGACAGTAATTCTGTCTATATTACCATATGTAACTAAAGGATTGTAAGATACTACAAAATGAAAAAAATGTTAGACCAGTAAATTAACATATAATATAAGTTTCCATTACAGGCTTTAATACAGTTTAGGATATTGAAAAATATCTTAAAAAAAACTTCTCAGCAAAAGTTATTACATATACATCCTTAGTGAAGTAAAGCTAATGTGTATAATTGCATTGACAAATTAAGTGTTGATATGTAAATAATAATTGAAAATATTAAATTACTCTACATCCTTAGTGAAGTAAAGCTAATGTGTATAATTGCATTGACAAATTAAGTGTTGATATGTAAATAATAATTGAAAATTATTTACTCTAAAAAATAAATCTAGGAAAATTAACTGAAAAAACATACATACTTTTTTCACTTACTTTGGCAACCAAACAATTATTTTCCTAAAAACCTAAAAATTAATCTTTTACCAAGCTTTTCCCACACATATATTCTATGATTAAGAAAAAAATAATAATAATAAAAAAATAAAAAATAAAAAATAAAAAATGGTGGACCTGCATTTTATAAACAAGAAATTATATACACCTGCATACCTTCAATCATTTCAATAGCCATAATTCCAAGCGACCATATATCCACTTTGGGTCCATACTGTTTTCGCGTCACCACCTCCGGGGCCATCCAGTACGGCGTCCCAACCATGGTGGTCCTTTTGTTTTGCTCCGGCGATATTTGTGCACAAAAACCAAAGTCAGCTGGAGAGGTGAGGTTCAAAGGTTTAAGCATTGTGTTCATATCGGTAATAATAATGAGATTTCTATGAATATAACAAATAATTAAATACAAATGCATTAAAAATAACAATACAATATTCATTTGTTCTCTCAACTACTCACTTTTTTACAACCATATCTGTAATTTTAGTTTTATATATCAAAAAAAAAAAAAAGTAATTAAGACAAACTAATCCACCCTACAGGTAAATTTTCTAGAAATTTCCTCTTAAGATTTTTACACAATCATCCCTGTCCTGAAAAGCATAACAGATAGAAGAAGTATTCAACGTAGAATGGCATTCGAATCAAACAAGAAGCCATACCACTCCTCCTTGACATATAACAAAGACAAGGAAAAATTTGCAATCAGACAATCAGTACTTACTGAGCTTGACACTTCCGTCCATGCCTAATAGAATATTATCTGATTTAATGTCTCGATGTATGACCTGATTAACGTGCAGGAACTCCAAAGCTTGTAGGACCTCCCTGAAATTCATGAAATAATATTAACTCTTCTTCAGATAGGGAGTAAGGTTAATTTCCATGACACATTAATGTTCATGCTGTACATCTAACAAACTCTTTTTAGGTTTTCCACTAAAATATTTCAATGCCTACACAACAGTTATTTCTATTATGCTACTTGTTACTCATCAGCACCAAGTAAAAATCAAAAGGGATAATTTGCAACAGAGAAAATATATTTGATGAAACTCACCTACAGACAGCTGCAATCTGACCCTCATCCATACAAGTTTCTGTGACGACATCTGTCAAGGAACCTCCAGGGAGGTACTCCATAACAACCTGTCATGAATACCAAATAATCCTGTGTTATTAACATATCACTTCCTTAGCACCATGATGTAAACAACACCATTTTTTTTTAGGCAATTACAAAGTTGCATTCCATTCTGTTAAATGAAGATAAGTTCCCCAATAGCTTAAATATGGAAATGGATCAAAAGAATTTCAATTACTAACCAGGCTAGGCAATTTTTATCATATTTTTCAAACAATTGGTGAAGGATTTTGAACTTGTCTGAGCAAAAGTGATTTTCACAGATTCTTCCTTGAACTTCTTAGAAATTACCATTTACAACAAAGTGACTAGTAGATCATTATCAATATTATTTATAAAAAAAGCAAATTTCCACAGTCATTACAACTGTCGAGTACTTTCGTGTTGCCGATCCACAAAACTATGCAAGATACAACATGCATGAAACAAAGTTTATAGTCTGGTACATTATGCTGTGCCTTCTGTACTCTTTATAATTCATTTTTCATTACCCCAAAACCAACGGCATGGCATGTACATAAATGCCATGCCCACTCCGAATTTATTTTACTAATTGTTCTTGCACATAGAGGGCTTGTACTATGTCACCAATAAGCCAATTATGAGTACTACCTGTCTCACCTGTTAAACCTTTTCCATGATTCCCGAAAACACGATGTTATCTTATACTGCAGTTACTAATGTCAATAACATTATAGTAACTATAATGACTATAATAAATATAAAACCATTGTTATCCATAGCATTAGAGAGAGAAAAAAAAAATCCCCACAAATTCCAGGACAGGTGAAATCAGGTAAGGTCAACAAGGTCTTCTAACTGACTCCTTGGTGGATAAGAACTAGCAGAGCCATCTATGAGCACACATTTCACAAAAAATTCTAAAATGGACACAGTATTTTCCCAGGATTATTGGGTTAAAAGTCTGAAAAATAGGGATCTTACAAGTGTACACAAAATTACGGAGAAGAATGCCTACAGTCTAAAGAACTTTACATACGCGAGGAAGGATGTGACCAATGACGCCTCACTCACCCAGAGTTCCTCGCTCACAAGATAAGAGTCCAAGTAGTTAACGACATTGGGATGCTTGTTTTCACGCATGACCATAATTTCATTGATTATTAGCTCCTTCTTAGGTTGCTGAGAGAGATTCATCTGCTTAATGGCTACCTCCACTCCTGTCGCTGTTTCTATTGCAGTATAAACAGTACCAGAAGCTCTGGAAGAAAAAATAATCATGTAAATAAATAAATAAATAAATGAAATAGTAACACTGATAACTTCTCACTGTGCTTGCAGTCATTACCACAAAAAGTCAAAATCACATGTTCCTTCTTTGTAACTCTGGCTATTTTAGTGATAATACCTTTATATTTCTGTTATTTTCAAATCAATTAATGAAGATGAACAAGTAATTTTCCAAAAAGCAAAACAGTCATTCACATTATCACTATGTACTCCCCAAACATATATGGTTCCAGGAATCCATTTATGTCATCATTTACTCCTTTTGTACTATGCAGTTACTACTGTACTATAATAAAATATTTGTTTTCATATAACATAAATAAATACATAAAACATACCTTTCTATAATTTCTAAGATTACAATTCTCATTTCATGTTCAACTTAGCTTTTTAGTTTTGATCTACTTTCCGGTGTGCACACTAAATCTACCGGAAACTTGAAAGAGGGAAAACCATTGAAAATAAAATACAAAACCATACCCCTGTCCAATTTTCTCCATTTTCGTGTACTTTCTGTTTGGATCGCCTACAGACACTATAGCTCTTAAACGCTCTAAAATTTCTTCATCGCTCATCTTTTTCTTCTTCTGTTTCTCAGCTGTCCTTTCTATTGCTGTGCTAGCACTGAAAACCACAGAAAACAGCATCAAACATTTGGGTCAGAAAAATCTAATACAGACTCATTTACAATTTTCACATGGTTCATACATTTATTTTACTTTTTTATGTATATGAATAAGAGGAAATATATTAACATTCTTAACTGCAATTCATAAAATCACACAATATAGGTTTTCGAAATTACAAATATAAAATTTGCTCCAAAAACAGCTCCACGCACAAACCTCCCTAAGACCCTCCCTGAATCCCAACACACACCTTGTAGTAGTAGTATTGGTGGGTGGCACTGCAGACACAGCATTCGGTGGTGCAACAATGGGAGCTGCCTGGGGGTTGCGGTTACTATCCAAAGGAGCACCATTTGCATTTGCCTCATCTTCTACCGGTTTAGTGTATATGGATTTTGTACGTTCTGGTCTCGTGGCTACTGGAGGAGGTGGTGGTTCCTCCTCTTCCTCTTCTGGAACCTGAGTGGACAGGGCGATGCAAGTTTTTTAAAAGGACACACGACACTGCAGGTGGGTTTGCTTTTAGACTGCACGAGAATATTACATTTTACTCTTACGTGACAATATTTGATCTTAAAAAAAAAAGTTAACATAAGATGACTACTATGATCCTTCCTAACTCAACATCAGTATTATATATGTTTCAACACAAAAACTCACAACGTAACAGCCCCTTTTTGTATAAAACTTACACTGACTTCTGAGCACGTTTCGGGAGTTGATGGCGATCCTGATGAAGCATCTGAGATCTTGTGTGGCGAAGGAGTTGCCGGGTAACTTGAGATGTTAACACCACCCTGGTAGCTAGGTCTAGGCGATGGGTCTGGTAATTTGATAAAACACATTATTATTGATGTCAGATGATGTTCTATTCGCAGAACAACAATTTCATGTTGGATGACCTGTTCATTTTTTCTTTTTCAAGATAAAATATATTCTCTCAAATTAAACTTCTATGGGAAGTGCTTTTTTTCATTCCACTATTAAACAATATGCAACATATTTCAAGGAACCATAAACTGTTACCATATTAAAGTGTTCATGTGTAACAGACCAACTGTATAAGATCACCACCCGAAAAAACATCAAAAGTCTTATTGTTAATTCTATCATCTTACCAACGGTTTTCGCAACAGTCATGAATTTGCTCGTTTGATGTTCTTTGGTGGATGCATCGTAGTAATTGAGCACATCCAGTACTGCCTGAGGATTATTCT